ATGGCTACATGGGGATGCAAAAAAGAACCCAGATTGCTAGACAAACAAAGCTTCAAGTGACAGTAGAGGTACTGGGATTGCTCATGAACAAAAAGCACACCTTGAGTTTAGGAACCAGTACAATCGCATATGATGGGTGAAGCAAAGCAGTTCAGATTATCAAGGGTGTCGCATGGTGTCGCCAATGGCTGACAGGGCAACTTACAGTCAGCCAGAGTTGGGTTGGGAGTTAGCTTGGCTTCTTGCCAGCTGTGTACCTTGGGCAGGTCACATCACTCTTAAGTTTCCATTTCCTTGAGTGGGGATAATAAGACTGAGCTCATAGGATTGATTTGAGGATTAAATGAGATAATGTTCATAACACACTTAGTCTGATGTCTGGCCTAGAGCAAATGCTCACTAAGTGGTTGTAATTACAAGCAATGGGAAAGGTAGAAGCAGCCTGGATTTTAAGTCTGCCTGTACTTTGTGGCACTGGGTGGCCCCCGCAGCATTGAAGGAGTGATAAACCAGACAAGTCTCTCTCCAAGGTGATGCATGGTCTCAGTTTCTATTTGGCTGTTGGCTAGAGGCTCCCATTACTCTCAATATGGGCTTCTTCCTCGTACTCACAATATGGCAGCTTGCTGAGCAAGACAGAGGACTCCTAAGACAAAAGCTGCAGTTTTGTATTCCATATTCTCACCTTCTTTTATCCCACCTCTTCTTCCATAGACTCACATCAAGCCCCTGGGACAGGTAGAGCAGACATACAGTGATATGAGCACCAAGAAGCTAATTGTTGGGGGCCATCCTGGAAGCTCTGCCAACAGGAATTAAACTGAGAGGCTGAGTTGGATGGGGATTCTAAATGAAGCCGTAACATGCCAATGCAGTTTACAGTGCTCGTTTTATACCTATTTGGGAGAGTATTTGAAAAGTGAATAAAATCCTTGCAGCACACCCACCCAGGATGGCATATGGACCCACATGTTCTATAAAGACATTGAACCCTTTCACTGAAAGTCTGTTTGCTAATCCTTCCCCTGGAAGGCCGTCAAAGAGCTCACTGTATAAGCCAGAGTGGAGCTGACCTGCACGGCGCTACTGAGGCTCTGGTCTACCACTTCCTGAAGCAGAAGACACTGCTCATTTCTTTCCTCCATCTCTTGGCTGTGCCTGCACATGGGGTGGAGATGTCTTGTAGAATTTATTGCTGTTCCTTGACTAGTTTCCTTTATCACTCACAAGGCCCGTAGTTGTAATGTGCCATGTTCCCTGACCCCGTCTGCCATCCCTTCTGCCTACCACTGACTTGACAGCTTTCATCCATGGAGCTCAACCTGAAGTCTGCCATGATTTATATGCCTGTGGACATGAGCAGACATATCCTGGAAAGTTCTCTGTCATAGTACCCAGTTCTTATGACCGACCCAGTGGGCTTACTGGGATCTACAGAGTAAAACATTTACAGCCTTCCAAACAGCACTTGCCTAGTTGTAGAAACCTCAGTATCCACTGACAGTACCAGAGTGGAGTTATAGGTTCTGGATCGAACTTAGACTTGTCTTGTTTTCCGATCACTTCTACTTGAAAATAATGAGAGACAGTTTCTGTGGCCACTTGAGAATACTGACAAATACTGATGACTCGTATCATTTGTCTGAAGTTAATTTTATTCAATGATCTATTTCTTATGTCTTTCCCATACAGTGGTAGGTGGGAACATGGTGTGAATACTTCCTATCTGTTTTGAATGACATCTCAAATGATTTAAATTGCAGGCCCCTGAGCTCACTAAGGTTGGAATCTGTGCTTAGTTGACTTTTCCCATGACTTCTTTTCCCTATGACTTTTTCTATGACTTCTTTCCTATGACTTCTTAGGCAAGTACACTGACCATGGTAGGAACTTGAAGCCTATGTGTTAGATACAAGGGTGCAAAGAACCCCCAGAGCAGTGGCTGTGGACTCTGACTCACATCCATTGTTGCATCACTGCTGGATTGTTTGGAGGTCTAGAGATGATGTTCTGGATGTCTCCTGATCTGGCTAAGGTGTCAAGAATGTTGCTCCACTTCTACTTGGGATCTTTAGATACCCACTCCATTTGCGTGGGCCAACTCTGTCCTTCAGATCCCCAGCCTTAAAGTTTCAAGAAGACTATAAATTCCTCCAGCATTCCTTTATAGCCGTGAAAAGCCTCTGAGGAAAGCCCGGAGATGTGTCTTGCCTAGCAAGCACACAGCCCTGGGTTTGATCTCCAGTACTGCTAAAAAGGATTATGCCGACCTGAGGCACATGGAGCTGCATTGTACTGAGGATTCTTTTCTAGTCGGAGAGTTCTTGGTCCTGTTCAATGGCTCAGACCCAGATGAGTACTAGAGAATGTGGCTTTGCAGCCACAGTTTGCCTTCATAAAAGGGCTGCAGAGATGTCTGTTGTCCATTCTGTAAGTGGTCCTCAGATCATAAAAATGGCAGCAAGTCCACGATGCTGTGAGTCTTCTTTAGCCCAATCAATAGCTCGAGTGTTCAGATGTGGTGTATGACACCACTCTTTAGGGGTTGGCCAGGAATAGGAAGATGTAGGGCAACGCAGTTGGTAAGGATGAATGCTTTAAAATCCAAGTGGATGGAGGCCTGATCAACACAAAGATACTCAACAATGAGAAAATAAAGCTGCATCTCTCGTCTTCCCCGAATATATTCTTGACAAGGGCACCCTCTTCCTCACCATCTCTTCTCTGTTCCTTCTAACTCCTCAAGAAACTGAGCTAGTCTGAAAATCCAAATTCCTTTTCTAAGGGTTAAAAATAGTCACACAGTGCCGCTGTGATCTCATAAAGCGGTGTTTTCACTGTCATCTCTAACTTGTGGTTAGTATTGTTTGGTAATTACATGCTGCTGCTCTTTATGAGCAAATCAGGAAACAGTTTACAAATGCCTGGTTGATTTCTGCAGGGAGCTTGTACAGTGCCCCTGCAGCTCAGCTGACCATCAGTCCAGTTGTATCTCCACGAAGTATCTTTCCTAAAGGTGACAGCTAGGGAAATGACATCTACTCTCAAGAATGACATTCTGGAAAAGTGGGGTCAAGAAGGAGGAAGGGGAGATAAATGGAGAGAATGAATGATGTAGTCATAATATTCAGTATATAGAGGTGAAAATGAAACTAGGTAAAATTGAGGGGAAGGGTGGGGTTGGTAGAGAAGGTAGAGAATGATTGATGGAAGATGCATTGTACTCACAAAGTGACAAGTTGAATACAAACCGTTTGTACAACTGCCTAAAGATAATATTTTTTAAAGATTAAAAATAAGAATGGCATTCTGGGATGTCAAATAAAAGACTCAAATTTTCTGTAGGTCTAGTTTCTAGGCTCTAGTCTCTACAGTATATTATCCTCCATTATCTTTACAGAAACACTAAAACCAGCTACTATTGTGATTGTAGATCACATTGTTGGTCTTATTTGTAAATGCTATGTCTGCTAAAGGATGCAGAGCTTATGTCTGACTTACAGTGTTCTCCTTCCAATATCTAAAAGGAAGAATTTAGCGCTCCCTCATTGACAGCAATTCTTGGCTGTTTGTTGCTTCTTTGGAAAAGTCCATTCTCCCTCAAATATCTATGTTTTTCCCTCCTCCTTTCCTCCTTAAGAGTTGAATCAATACCAAGTCACCTTGACATTTATCTAGTGAACTTTGAAAGCCAGAGTAACAGACAGACCTATGGAACAGAACAAAATGATATTCTATCATTTCAATTTTCTTTAACCATAGTCTGAATGCATTGCTTTAGTTAACCAACATGACTTCAATCTGTTATGCAAATATAACAATAATCCCATTAAAAATCTGTGAGCTAGTTTGCATATTTTAAGTTTCTACCGCATAACAAATTGTGCCTGAATGTTCCACCTTATTTTATTGCCTTATTTTGTCTTTAATGACAACCTATTTAAAGCAGAAATCTTTCAAATGGCAGAATAACTTGATAACATGTCTTCACTGGTAATTTAATACTTGTATATAATGAGTTCATCTGATAGATTTCATTAAAAACAGCAAGGTGCCCAGCTACCAAAGCTGAGATGTTTTTAATCACAGAATTATAGTAATTATACAAATCCCAAGATTTTCATCAGACAGATGAGGCTTCCAGAGCTAAACATGCACTTTAAACTTAGCTCTAATAACTGTGTATTGTTCTAAATTATAGTAGAGGGAGTCCTCAGGCCCAGGAAAATACTAGAGGAATATTAGAGAGAAAATGTTGTATGCGGGATTTTTAAGAGAAATGGAGCAAGGAATTATTTTGGAGCTGGAGTGGTTTGGGTAATAGGCACATCTCCCCACCTCCAGTGTGATGGAGGAGAAAATGCCCATGTGTGGAAATAGAATGTTCAGATTAAGCCTGTGAGCTCAGGACCATCACCACCCATCTTAGAACAGAGTGTATGATAGCCGAACCTCTGTCCTCTAAGGAGCCTAGAGATACTAATTGACTTGGCTAGATTCCCCTTCCCATCAGCCACCAGAACAGAACTCCTGGAAATGAGGTCAGAATCTAGGATTTCTAGGCTAGATGAAGACTCTATAAAGAATAATTAAAATGGGGTCCAGTGGCTCACGCCTGTAATCTGAGTTGTTCAGGAGGCTGAAGTCCAAGGCCTGCAATTTCAAAGTCATAAACATTTTGCTTTTCTTTTTAGATTAAAATGTGTGTGTGGTGGTAGAGAATTTATAACACACACACGTGCATGCACACATACACACAGGAGAGGGGAATGATCACTTACAATCCTTCCACCCAGAAAGAATTATCATTTGCATTCGCCTACATTTCCTCCCTCCCTTGCTCTGCACAGATACACGTTTGTGTTCCGATGGACACACAGGTACCAATATTTCATCATCCTCTCTGAGCACCCTGCATAGACCTCAGGGGTGGGAGTGGCTGGGGGTGTCGACTCCCCATTGTCTTGGGGTGCTATCTTCTTCATCTTCTGTCTCCCCAGGTCCTACAGCCTTTTGAGGGGGAGCGGACTACGATGTGGATGAACGGGAGAAGTCGGAGCCTCCACCCGACGCGTTGCTTCCTCCTGGAAGACCCTCCAGTGGGAGCGGAGCCGCTGTCTCCCGCGGCGATCAGCGCCGAGGCTCAGGCCCCTGTGTAGGTGGAAATGGACAGAAGGAGCACGCTGCCGGTGGTCTAGACGGGGGAGCCCTTGCCGGGGTCGGGGGCCGCGATGCCACGTGGTCTGGACGCATGGCCCTCCCCTGAGTGACCATGGTCCGCCGCGGGCTGCTGGGCTGGATCTCTCGCGTGGCCGTGCTCCTGGTGCTGCTCTGCTGCACCGTTTCGGTCCTCTACATGTTGGCATGCACCCCGAAAGGTGACGAGGAGCAGGCCTTGGGGCTCCCCCGGGCCAATGGCCCCACGGGCAAAGAAAGCTACCAGGCCGTGCTGCAGGAGCGCGAGGAGCAGCACCGCAACTACGTCAGCAGCCTCAAGAGACAGATCGCCCAGCTCAAGGACGAGCTCCAGGCCCGCAGCGCGCAGCTCCGGACCGGCCAGGAGCAGGCCAGCGAGGCCGCAGGCCTGCACCCGGCCCCGGGCCCTCCCGCACCCCCAGCCCAGGCCGACCTGCTGGCCTTCCTGCGCGCCCAGGTGAGCAAAGCGGAGGTGCAGACCGGGGTGAAGCTGGCCACCGAGTACGCCGCCGTGCCTTTCGAGAGCTTCACCCTGCAGAAGGTGTACCAGCTGGAAACCGGCCTGACCCGCCACCCCGAGGAGAAGCCCGTGAGAAAGGACAAGCGAGACGAGCTGGTGGAAGCCATCGAGTCGGCCCTGGAGAGCCTGAACAACCCTGCGGAGAGCGCCCCAAATCAGCGAGCGTACACCGCCTCGGACTTCATAGAAGGTTGGCATGTTTGTAAATTGGTGGGGGGGGGAGGTCAGAGAAGAGGCATCAGGTCTGGGGTACCCCCCCCCCCCCCACACACACAACCTCCCTTCCCAGGCCTTCCCCAAGCCCAGGCAGATTCCATCTGAGACCAGCAATTGGCTATGGGGAAAGGCCCCATATCAAGCCTTATGGGAGCCAGTGTCCTTGGGTTTTCTTACTTTGCAGAAACATGTGTTTTCACTTGCTCGTGGAAGTGGACATTAAGGGCAGTTTCGTTGTTCCTTGGCAGAGGCTGAGTGTCAGAAGCAGCTTGGCTCTTAGAGGCTCATACCTGTAATCCTAGCTACTCAGGGAGGATGAGGTCACACCTGTAATCCCAGCTACTCAGGGAGGATGAGATCTGAGGGCTGGGGTTTGAAGTGACTTGTCTCCAAGTAACTACCAACATTTTTTTTTAAAAGTGAAAAGTGGTGCTTGACTCAAGTGGTAGAATGCCAGCCTTGAGCTCACAAAGCTCAAGACAGAGTCCAAGCCCTGAGTTCAAGCTCCAAGTATGGCATGATAAGTATATTCATACACACATACAAACATAAATATAAACAGAAGAAAACAAAATACACATGTAATACTTTCAGACCCCAACAGACTGAGAGGCGATTTTCATTCTCTCTTCTCCTGGGGATTTTTAGGAACTGAACTGGCTATCAGACCTCGAAGGAACAGAGCAGAATGCTTACCAATTCCCAGGCAGGCAGGCCTGCTGGCAAAACTTCCACTCACTTCTCCCCAAGGAATAAAGATATAGAGCTATAAATTCATTAAAAACCTGTTGCTTGGCCAAGCTAGTGGCAGAGGCAGGATTGATTGGTTGGTTGGTTGGTTGATTTGCCTGATTGTGATACTAAGGTTTGAACTCAGGGCCTAGTGCCTGCTAGGCATATGTTACACTTGGGCCGTGTCCCACACACTTGTTTGTGCTGAATTTTTTCATTTGGATCTTGCATTTTTGCCTGGGTCAACCTGGACGGAAATCCTTCTATGTATGTCTGCTGCATTGCAGGAATGGGAGATGTGTTCCAGCATGCTCAGCTTAGTGGTTGCCATGATTCTTGCTAATTATTTTCTGAGGCTGGCCTTCAATCATGATCCCTTCCTTCTAAACAGATTGTATTACAATCATGAGCCTCAGTGCCTAACCCAAATCCAGGATTTTAATCCAGCAAGTCTTTTCCCAGGGTACCACCTCATTGTATTGTACAGATTGTCAGAGCACACAGAAATAAAACAAATGGGCACAAGACAACCTGACATTACGGTTGTCTGATTTTTTTTAAAGAGAACTCATTATCTTTTCATTAAATTACATATCATTGCTGGCTCAAAAATCAGCTAATAACTTTTTTGCAGCGATGGGAAATGAACCTTTGGCCTTGCATATGTTAGGCAAGCTCTCTACCATTCAAGCTATGCCCACAGACATAGTACTTTTTATCAGTTACATTTTTATTTTCTTTAAGTAGTTGTACAAAGGGGTTATCATTCAGCACGTCAATTTATACTACAATACGTCTTGATCAATGTCACCCCATTCATCATTCTTCCTCCTCTCTCTCAGTACGATCCCTTCCTTAACACTGCGTTTTTATTTTGTTTTAGAGATAGGGTATCACTACTACCTCTCCCTGGGCTGGCCTCCTGAGTATCTGCTGGGATTACAGGCTTGTGCCACCATGCCCAACTTCAGCTAATAATTTGGACGAAATGGTGGCCTTCAAAGATATCTACCTCCATTCCCGATTTGGGGGCAGAATTAACTTCAACTTGCCCAGAAGTATACCTGTGTCCTAACCCACTTCCTCCTTTGTTATGAAACTGGCCCACGGTCTTCCAGGCAAATTCTTCTCTCATCACAACCCCTCTGGCTGCTCGTGAAGCCTGCTCTCTTGGGCACTTTTTTGGCGTGGGGTCTTTCCACTTTCCATGGGACCACAAATTCATGCAGTTTTAATGTGGCACTGTTTTTCACATACCAGGAGCCAGGTAAGGAAATATTTCAGTGTGTAGATTTTCTTGACCCTCATTTTCCATGAGATTAAAAGAAAAAATATGCAGAGCCTTCAGCAGTAATTTGTGTAGTGTTTGTGTATGCTAAGCACTCAAGATTTCAAAATATACTGATGAGGTAATATCAAACCTTACAGCGCTTTTCTGTATGTGACAAATTTCCACATGCACTATCTTCCTAGTTGACTCCAAGGGAAGATCACCAAACATTTTTTAGAAAATAAAACAACCCTCCCTGTTTGCCTCTGTCCCTGGAGTAGTAGGTGTGAGAGAGCGGCCTGGGTAGAAAGCGATTTGGAAAAGCACTTGATTACAAATCAATGCTTGCCTTTTCGCATATTTGCCCTTGTTATTGTCGGGTTTTTGCAATCGTGGTGTGCGTGTCTGTGTACAGTGCCTTGTCACAAGGCCCATTGCTCTCCATCAGCAGTGGCACCAGCCCTGTGTCCCTATTTGATTTGCTCTGCAGTGGCACTGGATTTCTGTCGGAGATATTCTCAGCAACAGCTACCCCATGTTGCTTTCATGGGTTGTACATGGCTGGTGTTTGGGGCAGATCAGCCCACATACACTTCCAGATAGAGCATAAACCTAATCCAATGTTCTCACGTGACAAGTAAATAAAGACAAAGCATTATGCATGGTTGATAGTGATTTAATTTTTAACTTCTCATCTGTGGGTTAGAAGGGACTTTTGGATGACGTCTTCTATTGTCACAGGAAGTATGTGTTTTGAAAAGGTCTGCCAGATGGAAGAAGGAGCAGATAGATAGAATTAAGTTCAATAAGACGAGGAACTTGGAAAATACTGACATTACAGAACAAAATAGGATTCTTGTCATTACAAGAATTCTGCCATTGGCAGAGGACAGCGGCTTATAACTATAATCTCAGATACTTAGGAGGTAGATTTAGAAAAATTATGGTTCAGGGCCAGCTAGGGCAAAAAGTAAGATCCTGTGTGAGGGTATCTGCCTATAAATCCCCAAATCATAGGAGGAAGACTGTGGAGAATCTTGGTCAGAGAAAACCCTGGGCAAAAGCGTAAGACCCTAGTTGAGAGATAGCTAAAAGGACTGGAGGCATGGCTAAAGGGGTAGAGCACCTGCCTCACAAACACCAGATCCTGATGTTATAGATTGTGATTCTTGGTTCAGAGAGGTAGCTGGCTGGACTGAATTCCAATCTTACTTGCTGCTCTATGGTCCAGACCTTGTGATGGTGAAAGTTGTAAATGGAAAAGGCCCAATTTGAGACCATTCCTTCATGATGAGCTAGGGCAAGCATTAAGTACTATCTCATTAAAATAATTTATTCACATTTTTAGACATTATCTCAGAGAGCATGGTTTTGATTTGTGCGTGAGGTTTCATTAGTACAAAAAGTAGAGCAATTTAGCTCAAGTCTGAGGAGAAGAATTTTAGAAGCAGGAGTGCTCCACACACTGAGAATTCTGAATGAAGGCAACAGATTTACTGAACCTTAAACTAGTATGATAAAGATGGTGATTCTTTGTGCTTAAAGAAATAATAAGGCCAGTCTTGGTGGTGCATGCCTCTGATCCCAGCACTCGGGAGGCTGAGGTAGGAGGATCATGAATTGGAGGACAGCTGGGCTCTACAGAAAATATAAGGCCAATTTGGCATCTATAACAGTATTCTACCTCAAAAGAAAGGAAAGAAAAATTAATAACAAAACTCTGTGAGATGTGGCAAGATGACAACCACTCTATACAGCTTAAAGCTCACTATGAAGTGGGTGGCTTGGTGGCATTAGCACTGTGTGACTCACCCTTAGACTCTGTTAGACTTCACTTGCTCCATCAGTAACACACTTGATATATACCCCCTTGATAGCCGCCAGCCTCTCATCTGCAGAGACAAAGCACCGCTAACTCTTTTGCTAAGCCACCATCTCTGAGGAACCCCTCGCTATCCATTCTTCAGTGTAACCCAGTAGGAGTCACCTGCCTTTTGGTAGATGAACTGGCACCTATTCTGTAGCAGGAGAGATTCAGAGAGATGACCGGTAAGGTCTGATCTGCCTGTGGTGGCTGCTCGCACTTCTGCAAAGTCTGCAGAGGGAGAATGTCTACTTAGGCCCATCTAAATTACCATCTACATGATGTAAGTACTTGTCTCTAAGAGCCAGGGAGAGCAGTATCTGCCAGGGTGGCTCTGGTGTTTGCATTGGGTTCTTCCATGATTGCATTCATCTTTGACAACCGTCTGTGTGAGCAAAGAAAATGGAGTATGATCAGGCCCTGGCCTCAGGACATCTCAGTGTTTGCCTCCTCACATACACACAAAACTCCCTTCTCAGTGGGTGTGCTTGAGTTCTTCCTTCGGTCGAGGATGCACACACTAGTATTGGAAACTCAGTGACACAACATTTGGCTTGGATTTCGTGGTTTTCAGGAGAGCATTTGGACACACATTTGACATCAGTCCATACACTGAACCATATCTGAACTCTTCCTCTTCTGCAATCCAAGCATCTGACGGCAGGACTCTTCTGAGAGCTGTTAGTGTCTGCTGTCTCCATGGGTCACACTCTGGTCTGTCCCCATCCTGTGCACCTCCCCCCTCCCACCTTCTGCAGCTCCTGTGGGGTGAATAGTGTGGCCAGAGGAGTCCTAGGCCAAATACTCTCTTTAGGGGTGAGATGGAGCTAAGCCCCAATCTGCAAGACAGTTAAAGCTTTGATGCAGTTATGGTTTGACTGTGTCCCTCCAAAGTGCAGTATTGTTTATTGATGAATTGATTGGTTTTTGTAGGCTTTTTTGTTGTTCAGTATTACTGGGGTTTAGACTCAGAGGCTTATACTTACTAAGCTCTGTATTGCTTTATTTATTATTCAGAGAGGGCCTTGAACATTTTGCCCCATATCCGCCTCAGTCCAGAATCCTATGTATATCCCCACATAGCTGTGATTACAAGCAAACATTTGTG